TACCCTGCAGAAGCGTAACATACCAAATCAACAAAAGAAATTAACAACCAAACTTAACACAAAATTATATAATACCAATCAAGAACTGAACGCAACACAAAATCATAAACTAAACTTAACACTAAATGAAAAACATAAGCTAAAATTTGGTAGCACCTCCATTTTTGTCTATTACTTCTTGCAGTCTATTTCGCATTGAGTTTACAAGATTTTGAAAATTATAGGTTTCTTGTGAAGCATCCCATTCAGTTCTTACTATTTCCCTCAAATCTTCCTTCGAGACGGGCCTAAATTCTTTGGAATAATTTTTTTTTGTAAGGTTACTCCAGATATTTTCAATGGGATTAAGATCTAGGCTTTTCGCAGGCCAAGGCAATACATTAATATTGGAGTTCTCATACTAGTCTTGTATCATACACGCCGTATGCACTTAGGAATTGTCCTATAATAAAATAAAGTTTGCGTTAGATGGATTTACACTCTAATGATTCCTTATACATATGGTCTCACATGCTGAAATGTAAAATTATCTCCAAAGCGTTCGTTCCCCTGGACCTTCGGCACTTATCCAAGCCCATGTATGGACAGAAAACCGTCCACTACATTAATTGGTTTGTATGTAATTTTCATCGTATCTGGCTCGTCGCGGCCTATAGACTTTTAATGTTCTGCTACAGCTGCATGACTGAAAAAAATTCATCCGAAAAGACTATGTTCGACCAGAAGTTTTCGGTTTGCTGCACAAACAATTGGGCAAATTCTAATCTGCACTGCTTATTTTCTGCAGTCAGTAATGGTTTTTTAGCAGCTGAATGGCATTTTAATCCTGCTTCTTTTATGCGCTTCCACGCAGTGATTGCTGACGCTGGAAAGTTGCTTACTTCCTTTGCTCTTAACTGCCGAAGTAAAAGGATTCCGAACTATTTCATCCACTAGAGATTGATCTTCTTGTGCAGTACTTCTTCGAGGACGAATTCCTCGGTGTAGGTTTCCTATAGAACCCCTGGCAACCCATTTTTTCTTCAAATTCATTATTGTGCCACTGCTAGAACCTAAGGCTGAGGCAACTGATCGAACTGTCTCACCTTGTGCCATCATTTCAATTATTGTTTTCGCCTTTTCTTCATTGTTGAGCATATGGTAAACCATTTTAGCAAACAAATATTTTTTTTCCTGCAGTTTATTAAAACTATTATATGTTCACCACTGATTTATCAATCTGATATGACCTGTGTGACAAAGAAGTCAAATTTTGATACATTACGGGGGATGTTTATAAAGTGTGTGCCAATTGCAATGATTCCCACTGTACTCTCTACCCATTAGTCCAAAATTTCCTTCATTTTCAGTGGAACTTCAGTAGTATTCCGTTAAAAGTGGAATTCTGGTGTATATATTTTTCAAGGTGGTTTACCCCTCGTATTTTTGTTTGTGTGCCACCGGTCACACAGTGTTTTCGGTGTCTTTGATGCGGTCACACAAAAGTAAATAGTGAAGGTATAGGTAAGGAACGCTGTTTTAACTGCAGTGAGACGAAACATTTGAAAGATAATGAAGATTTTACCTGTTCAGTGACATGTTTTTTTTTTGCAAAGAAACCCACAAATCTAAAATTTACCCAGAACACATCAGGCAGAAAAACATTAAAGAGCTAATGTAAATTCGAAAAACCTTTTTTGAAGCTAGTGAAAGTTGAAAAACAACATACATCCCCATTGTTCTCAACTAGGAAGATTTCCCCTCAGTTCAAACTACATCTAATATCAGATACTCCCAACTCCCAACGCAGTTCTGACTTAACGTATGAAAAAACAGGAAGAAGGAGCTTATCTTTCAAAAATAATTCCACTAAACGTACATTCCAACAAGTGTATCTAACAACCCAACGAAAAAAAGGATGGTGCGTAAAAGTTATGATAGAAACTCACGAGGAAAATGTATACAACCCCAATGGAAGAATAGGTAATTCACAGTACACAGCCTGTGTGCATCTTCATCAGTGTGTAGTTAAAAAATGTTAATTTATTTAGACACCATTGTTAATTTCATAAGAAACGCTTCTGTAGAGCAAATACATGCGATACATACATCTTTTAATTTGTTCATTCATATTATAGAGGCTTAAAGGGCGAGTTAAAGGGCGTTTGTTCTATTATCTATACACAGAAATGTTTTTTTGAGTCCTTTCATTAGGTACTTTGACTCTGTTGAGATGTTATCTCTCACTTTTTTCTCTTTTACGCCTTCAAGCTGTTTTTGCTTCCTCCTGGTTCATGATTCAGCTTCTTCAGGGGGGTTATCTATCACCTCTGTTTTTTGGCTGCTTTGTTAGTGACGCGGAAGAGATGTTTCTGTTCTCCCTTTTTTTGTTTCTGACAGATGATTTAAGAGTATTTACAATAGTTAAAAATTCTGGGGGATGATCAGCGTTTGCAGGACGATCTGGATAGGTTCGTTGATTGGTGTTCTCTTAATAATTTGACATTAAATACAGAAAAATGTAAAGTGATCTCCTTCTTTGGAACAGGAAAACCAATTAATTTTCCCTATTCTATTAACGGCGATACTTTGGAAAGGGTTAGTTTAATAAGGGACATCGGGGTGTGGTTTGTTGTGGAATTAACCTTTATTGACCACATTGACTTGATTGCAAGCAAGGCAAGAAGAATGTTGGGTTCTGTACAAAGGAGTACCAAAGTTTTTAATAATATACTTACTTTAAAGAACTACTGTGCAACAAGTCGCTCAATCCTAGAATATGCTAGTATGGTATGGTCACCTTATTATGATGTTCATAAAAAGAAGTTAGAACTGGTACAACATAAATTCTTAAAGTTTATTGGTTACAATCTTGGAATATACCTGCAAAACGTATAGAATATAATGAGCTTGACCAATTGTTGAACATAGAAACTTTCGAAAAAAGAAGACTTGACATCGATCCGAGGGGTGTTTCACTCATGCAGTAGGTCTACAAATTTCATACATTCATGTATATGCAGTCCATACATTCTTCTGCAGTCCATATATTCTCACTCAGTCAATGGGAATACATGGACTTATGCAGTCATGATACAGTCGTATTGTAAGGCCACCAAATATGGTTTATATATTTCATTGACATAGCAACCAAATCAGTATGCAGTCATAATACAGTCGCTTGCAATTGTGATAAATTCCATGCAGTCACATGCAGTAGCGTACATTCCATATACACTCGCGAAAATTCGTAAGCAGTTGCTGCAAGTGGAGCCTGCAATCTTGTTAGATATTGCTCAAAAGTCAATGCAGTCAACTATCATCTTTGATGCAATCAATGCAGTCAAATACAGTAGGTGTAAAAAATGTAGTGGGTAAAACATACCTCGCAGCGATTTCATTAATCTTTATAAAATTATCAACAACTGTTTTAATTCATCTGAACTTCTTGACTTGATTGCTCAGGTCTAAAATTTTTTTTGCAGTTCCATATCATCGAACTAATTATGGGTTTAATTCCCCCATAACTAGGGCTTGTAGGAATTTTAATAACCTGGAAAGTGACATTGATATTTTTAATGTAGGTTTAACATCATTTAGAAATAGGCTGAAAAAGTTGTGATTACAGGAGAAGACAAGACAAACAAAAAAAAAAAAAAATCCTATAATAGTTCTGTGATGTTTTCAGTCAGAAAAAAAATTTGATTTAGGATTGGAGTTCTTTTGTCTTAGTTTTTTGTGATTTGTGAGCTTTTATATTTATTGATATTGATTTTTAATGCTTCAAATTTTAGTACAGGGTGATCTATTATAAATGTGACCCCCTTTTAACTTTTTCATTTGACATTTTTGACAAAAGTCTCAAATATACAGTTACAAGAAATTGTCGAAATAACTAAAGGTACGGTTTGTTAGGAGAGTACGCGTCGCACAACTGACAACGTAAACGTCGTCATTGGTCAGGTATGACCATAGGTATGACGTACACCCGTTTTCTCACGTCAAAAGACTGGTGTACGTCATACCTGAACCAATGACGACGTTTACGTTGTCAGTTGTGCGACGCGTACTCTCCTAACAAACCGTACAGTGGGAATCATTGCAATTGGCACACACTATATAAATATCCCTCGTAATGTGTCAAATCTGGCACACAGTAATAGCAAAATTCTGCACTAAATAGATTTATTGGTTAGAATTTTGACTTAATACGGGGGATTTTAAAGAGTGTGTGCCAATTCCAATGATTCCTACTGTACCTTAAGTCAGTTTTAGGTATACAGGGTACGTCAAAAAAATGCAGCAGTGTCAAGTTATATTTTTTTAAATGGAACAACTTTGTATGTGCGCTTATTTGTTAGTCCCGTTTAAAAATAACATGAGAGACCTAGAAAGGGATTTTCGCATTTTTCCCTATTACTATTGGAAATAAACCAAGAGATAAACATATGAAACTGTACATCGTCGAAATCAGGTTAAAGGGGACTAACAAATAAGCGCACAATATACAGAGTATTCCATTTAAAAAAATATAACTTCATCCTGCTGCACTTTTTTGATGCACCCTGTATGCTTAAAACTGACTTAGGCCGGAGTCTCATGCATCCGTTTTCCGACGAAAAATTTTCTATTTTGACATATTTTCATACGATTATGTCAGAATAGAAGATTTTTCGGACATCTTTCTTCGGAAAACGGATGTATGAGACTCTGGGTTTAGTTGAAAACTTTTGACAATTTTTTGTATTTGACACTTCTGTCAAAAACGTCAAATGAAAAAGTTAGCAGGGGGTGACATTTATAATAGATCACCCTGTACCTATTTTACTGTTTTGATAAACTTTTTGTATTTTGAATGTATTATTTGTAAAATGGCAAGCCGTAAATAAAATACAAATACAAATTCAAATTTTGTAGCCCGTCTTACCACAATAGTTATTGTCAATACAGATTTCTGATGATTTTATTAATTTAGAGTTAATCTTAGCTAAAACAGCATTACATATTTTGAAAATTTCCAGATATCACCTGTGGTGCATAAAAAACCAAAACCGATTCCAAAAATCAAAATAGAAGATTATGAATCGCAAATTGAAGTCCTATCTCTAGCCCTATTTACCACCAATCCGAAAATCGTGTTTGAAAATGTCACTGTTGGAACAGTGCAAACCAAAAAGTTGCTTATTAAAAATCCTACTGGACAAGACATAAACGTAAGTAGCATACCTGAATTTCATCTGATTGTGGTTTTAATTTTGATTTGTTTAGTTATTTGTTAAAAAATCAATCCCTGAAGAAATGAACTTTTTGCTGAGCTGGAATGAAGCTGAATTGCCTAAAGGCAGTGAGAAAATGATGGAGTTGGTTTGGAGTCCAGTAGAAGTAGTGGCATGCCGCTATACATTCACACTTTCAGATGGCAAAAGAACAAATAGAGATATTGGAGTTACTTTTAAGTCTGTGATGCCAAAGGTAATTTGTATTCTATTTTCTTCGAATAGCATTAATTTTGGTACATTTTTGTAAAATTCATTTTATTTGAAATAGTATTTTTCTTTGTATTTTATTAGTGAGTCCAGCAGCTTCACTTTTTGTATTCTTTAAGGGAAACTTATGGCTATAATAACTTACATTGAATCGAATTTTAATTCTAACTCAAATTGAGGAATATTTAATCACTAATACATTTGCCGTACTTTAATTTATTCTTGAAGGCACCAAGATAATTAATTCTGGCTTGAAATTTTTATTTTGCAGCAATTGAAAGGAACGAAAGGTAAAAAGACCACCAAACCTTCATCTGTGAAGTTGTCACTTACAAGAAAACCTATTTCGCCCACTAAAAAATTGAGAGGTCATAAAATTTCACCAAAAATTAAATCAGCAATGAAGTTTTTCTCACCACCGGAACCACAACGGTTTGATAGAGGTTTGAGACAAAAGCGAGTTGAAATCAACAATTACTCACAAAATACTCATCAAAAAAGTGCATGGGAACATGAGAAAATGTATCTAAACGCTCAACAAAAAAATAAAGAAAACTTATCTCCTTTCAACAACCATTCATTGCTTCACGACAGCCACACGTTTATATCTCCAACAAACGTGAGTTTTTTAATGCAAAATGCCAACGTAAATGAGCGTAGAGAGACTTACATTGTTGGGCAAAATAATGATAAAATGATTGAAAAATTATCCTCAGAGTCCTTTTTCTTTGAAAGCAAAGAGAGCTCCTTACATTTTAATGATAGTCTCGATTCTCCAAATTTACCATTGAGAGAATTGAATAGTACCAATACCAATACAACTCCAAGTTTAGAAGATATGTTAAAAAGAAAAGTTGTTAGAAGAAGCAGTTCACCAAATTATGGGTATAACTTTGCACAAGTTCTTTCAAAAGATTCATTTGCTCCAAGTATTTTTTCTATACTCAGTAAACCACCATCTACGGATAATTCTTTGGAAACCTTATTGAAAAGCCCTAAGGAACTCTTTAATAATTTAAATCAAAGTAGTGAAACTTACATTAAAAGTAACACAAGTTTTGAAACATACATTAAAGAAAATTCCACTCCTGAAAGTTATGTTGCAGGCAATATTAGTAGTGGGACGTATATCAAAGATAACTCAATTGGCAATATTGGTCAATTATTAGAAGTTTCCCCGCTCTCAAGTAGGTCCTGTCGTGCATCGTCTCCAATTTTTTCAAAGCCTTCACCCAAGAATACCTTCCTCCATTCAACCCAAAATTTGTCATGTATAGCAGAAGAATCCTCATTGTTCAATGATAGTTCCAGAAATGGCACCAAAAGAAAAAGCTCCATTTATTACAATTCTCCAATTAAACGTGACAGATTAAGTGGCCAATGTTGGTCAAAAACTGACCACTCGGCAATAAGAGTAGCTAGAAGAACTTCTGGACTGAATTTGAGGCAGTTTAATAATGATATAAATGAACCTTTGTCATCAATAACAGAAAAGACTATAAAAACTGTTATAGTTAAAAACCCATTCCTTTATGCCAATATTTTCGATCCATTTATGACATCCCAAGTCTACTGTGACGAGGAGTGGATAGAACAACAAGAAAACAATTTTAAAAAGTGGCTTAACACGCTTTTAATGCCTCCAGAAGAATTGAATACAGCAAAAATTGAAGTTAATGTGGCTCATATCTGGCATGAATGTACCAAAAAGAACGCTGTACCAGAAGCCAGTAGTAAAGAAGTGATTTCATTGAAATATCACACAAATAAAAAATTGGATTATTTGAGAAAGCAAGCCCAAACTTTATTTAGATCTCAAGAAATGAGTAAAGTGTTACAAAAAGTTTGCCTTGTAGTTGAAACTGGGAAACTTTCTATACGAGACGATAAAGATATACATTTGAATTTGAAACTAAAATCTGATATTACTCGTTTAATATTAGGGTATAACCCTTTATGGTTGAGACTGGGCTTGGAAACCATTTTCAATGAAATTATACCTTTAAAATCCAACACTGACATCAATGGTTTAGCGAATTTTATTTTAGAAAGATTTTTTAAAAATCCATATTTAGTCAAAAAACACAAGACCATATATGCTTCAAAATATTCCCCAGATTTAAAGAAGTTTCTTCTAAAGAAATTTTTAATGTTGGTTTTTTTTTTGGACACAGCCAAAAATGCGAAATTGATCCAGCATGATCCTTGCCTATTTTGCAAAAATGCTGTTGAAAAAGAAAGTAAATTAGTTTTAACCTATTTTGCTAGAGAAACTTTACAATCAGTAGGAGACATAACTAAATATCTTAAGGGGTTCGGTTACAAAGTAACTCACGCACAATCCTATATTCATGAGTATGATTACGCAGTCAAAAATTTGGGAAGTGACTTAAGAGATGGAGTGAGACTTGCAAGAGTGATGGAAATTATACAAATGAGAAGCGATCTAACAGGAAAATTAAGAGTACCGGCAATATCACGTTTGCAAAAAATCCATAACATGCAGTTAGTTTTTCAGTCATTACAAGAAACTGGATATGAAATTCAATACGAAATTGAAGCTAAGCATATCGTGGATGGCATTAGGGAAAAAACTTTATCATTTTTATGGCAGATAATTTATAAATTTGAAGCTCCATTGATGGTTAAAAGTGCCAAAACTATACAAACATGGTTTAGAAGTTATCCAGTTCAACTTAAAAGGCAAGAACTGAGAAGAGTTCGCTATGAACGTGAAAATGCTGCCAAGAAAATACAAGGATGGTTCAGAAGGCAAAAGTTATCAAGAATTTTCTTTTATTTAGTTGAGGTAGTTAGGGTTTTCATACAGGAAAGGAAAGAATATTTTATCAAACTGAGGAATATGGCTGCTGTAATAATCCAGAAAAATTCCAGAAAGTATATTTGTAGAAAACAATTTTTATTAAAAAAAGCTGCCGTTGTTACTATTCAAAGGCGATATAGAGCTAAAAAATTGACCCAAAAAGCTAAAAATGATTACGGAAAGTTAAAAATGGCAACTATTAATGTACAGAGAAGATTTAGAGCAAACATAGAAATGAAAACTTGTCGCCAGCAGTATTTATTAAAGAAAAGTGCTGCTAAAAAAATTCAAAGCACTTTTAGAATGTACACTTTAAGGAAACGTTATTTACAGCTTCAAAAAGCCACAACAGTTATTCAACAAAGATATAGATCTCATAAATTGACTCAAAATGCTCGAAACTATTATGCCAATTTGAAAATAGCAACTGTCAACGTTCAGAGAAGATTTAGGGCTAATATGGAGATGAAAAATTGTCGCCAGCAGTATTTATTAAAGAAAAGCGCTGCTAAAAAAATTCAAAGCACTTTTAGAATGTACACTTTAAGGAAACGTTATTTACAGCTTCAAAAAGCCACAACAGTTATTCAACAAAGATATAGATCTCATAAATTGACTCAAAATGCTCGAAACTATTATGCCAATTTGAAAATAGCAACTGTCAACGTTCAGAGAAGATTTAGGGCTAATATGGAGATGAAAAATTGTCGCCAGCAGTATTTATTAAAGAAAAGTGCTGCTATAAAAATTCAAACTATTTTTAGAATGTACATTTCAAAGATAAAATATGCGAAACTTAAAAAAGCTGCATTAGTAATTCAACAAAAATATAGAGCTCAGATAGCAATGAAAAAACAGCGAGCTTACTTTGTTGCTCTACTGCAAGCAACAATTTTCATTCAACAGAGAATTAGATCTAATAAGCTGACAAAACAAGTCCAACAACAATATTTGATTATGCGTCAGACCACAATAACTATTCAGTCATATTTCAGGATGCGTATAGTCAGGAAACAGTTTCTAGTATTAAAAAAAGTCACTATATACATTCAAACCACATATAGAGCTAAAAAAGCTATGGAAATACAAAAAACTAACTATCAATGTTTGAAAAAAGCGGCTCTAGTAATCCAGCAACGTTGGAGAGCTAGGCAATTGGCCATTCAACAAAAATCAGACTATAATCAACTAAGGAAAGCTGCAATAAATATTCAGCAAAGATTTAGAGCAAATAAATTGATGCTGAAACAAAGAAAGGCCTTTGTAACCTTAAAGCATGCAACGATTATTATTCAACGTAAATTCCGTGCCAGAAAACAACAGCATGAATATCATAAACTTCAATCGGCTGCAATATTCATACAACAAAAATATAGAGCTAAAAGATGCATGCAAAAACAAGTAATAGAATACCAACAATTGAGAAATGCATGTTTGGTAATCCAGCAACGATGGAGAGCTAGGCAAATGTGTATTCAAGAAAAATCAAATTATAACAAATTGAAACAAGCTACAATTAAAATTCAACAGAGATTAAGAGCTAATAAATTAATGCTAGAACAAAAACATGCCTTTGCTCAAATTAAAAATGCATCTATGGTTATTCAGCAAAGATTTAGAGCTAATAAATTAATGCAGCAACAAAGAAGACATTATTTAGAAGTTAAAAGTGCCACAGTAAAAATTCAAATTTGGTATAAATCCATCTTAGCCATGAGGACTTGTAGAAAACATTATGTCTTACAGAAAAAAGCAGTAGCTAAAATAGAGCAACGTTACATTGAATATAGAACAATGCTCAAAGTTCGTTATAGTTATATAAACTTGCATGTAGCCACAGAAACTATTCAAAAGCATTTTAGAGCTTTAATTTTAATGAAAAAATGCAGACGTACCTTTTTAGAATTAAAGTCTTGTACAATAATAATACAACAAAAATATAGAGCTCAAAAGTTGATGCAGAAAGAGCAGGCTAGCTATAAAAAACTAAAAATGGCAACAATTTTTGTACAAAGCACATATAGAACCAACAAATTACGAAGAGAGTTTTTGGCAAAGAAAAATTCTGCAATCAAAATACAAAAATGGTATAGAGCTGTTATTGAAATGAGAAAATGCAGGGCGCATTATCAATCTTTGAAACTGGCCGCGGTAGCTATATCTGCTAGATATAAAGCTACAAAGCTAATGCAATTTGAGAGAAATAATTATAAAAATCTAATACATGCAACTGTAACGATACAAAGAAGATTTAAATGTTTATTGTTAACAAGAAAACTGAGGCAAAATTATTTGGAGCTCAAAAATGCAGCTATTGTTATTCAACGAAAATTTAGAGCTACAATAGAGGCAAGAAAGCAAGAACAAGCCTATAAAAAGCTTAAAGCAGCTACTATTATTATTCAGAGAAGATGGAGAGCTAATTTAACAGCTAAAAACACCAGAAAGGAATATTTGGAGATTCGAAGAGCAACTTTCACAATTCAAAGGTTTGGCAGAGGTTATTTGATTAGAACACGTTATGCGGCACTTTTGACACCGGAAGCTAGAGATCAGAGGAGGATTTTGAGGATACAGAATAACGCTGCCAAAAAGATTCAGGTGAGAACTTTAATGTTTTTATTTGTTTGGACATTCTTAGTGGCATTATGTTTTTGTTCTTTCTAATTTTTTTTTTTTTCAATTTTCACCTTAAATTTTGTGTTTTTAAAACATTTTCTCAATCTGTAGGCCTACTGGAGGGGATATTATGTAAGAAAATCGAATGTCTCCGTGATAGATGCATTGAAGAAGAGGCAGCAGCAAAGATTCTCAGAATTAGGTGCACCTGGTCAGGGCAAAACATTAATACAGAGATGTGAAGCGGCCATGCTATGTCTGACTGGTGGAAATGCGTCCGTAGACATGTTGATTAGTGCATTGCAGGACTTAGGTAAAGAATTTATACTTTTAAAATCCATTTCAAACCCTTCAAATTCAAAATAAGCTTACTTATCCAAAAGACAAAGTTGGTCTTATTGACAAAGCAAAACTTAAACTATAAAGTCAGTACACAAAATAAAATTAGGCATGGCATAAGGCAATAGGTGATAAAAATATATAAAACGATAAACACAAAAATAAATGAGGATAAAGAGTTAAATTAATGATAGAATAGTCATCACAGAAAAAATCTTGATTGAACAATAACAATAAAATATTACACATTAAAAAATATCACTATAAAACTAGTCTATACTATAATAAGCCTTACCAACTAAAATTCCGCGGACCTTATTCTTAAACATTTTCAGTCTTGGAGAAACTTTAACCTCATTGGGTAAATGATTGTATATTTTTATACTCTCTTATATTACAGACTTTTTGTTAAAGTTGGGGTAGGTATAGGTAAAGGTAAGTCAAGAAACTGTCGAGTATTGTAATGTGAGTTAGGAGATATTAATTTTCGACGATACAATACAAACACTTTCTAAAATGAAGAAATTATATTCAAATTCAAAAACAGCTTTATTGTCATAAAAAAAGATTAAAACATCTCATTGACAAAGCAGAACTAAAAACTAAAAATATATAACATGTACCTAAAACTTATAATGCTGACCTGTAAAACAATATTAAAAACACCGATAAGTCCACTAAAATTACACAGGTAGGTCATACAAAACATAAATCAAAGGTGGAAATAAGTATCGGAAGTGACGTGTTGTGGGTATTCATCACAGTATAAGCTGAAGTGGCCTGAATTTAAGTTTTAAACTTCCTATGAATCAAACAGGCTGGTCAAAGTTAGGATTTTATGGCTAATAAAAAAAGGCCTACAACAATCTCTTCTTTTTAACTTTGGCATGAAACGCAGTGCTCTTTTTTGTAGTAAAAAAATTGTATTAAATAAATATCCAGAACAAGCTCCCCAAAAGCATATACCATACCGCAATTGTGAGTGTATCAGAGCGAAATATGCTTTCCTTGTTGCCGATAAGTTAAGCTCCGACGCTATGACCCTCAAGGCATAACAACCCCCAGAAAGCTTCCTCGACAGTTGCAAAATGTGTTCAACGAACTTCAGCCGCTCATCAACCAAAAGACCCAAAAATGTATTCTGTGTGACATTGCCTATGGATTCCCTATTCAACAACACCCCCTCTAAGTGACACCTGAAGCATAAAACATTTGTCTTAGAGATGTTCAGAGTCAGGAAATTTGAATCGCACATGTTCATTTGCCGCTCTATGCAAACGACGAATAATATACAGTGTTTCGCTGTTTTAATTAGTCTCTTATAAAGCGCACAGTATCTGTCAAAGTAGTCGAGAAATTCCTGACTGTTGGTATACTTTTTGTACTGGTACTGGTATACTCATGTGAAGAAATCGAAGGTTAGCCGAGGAGATCCTTAGGCCCTTAGTAAACCAAGGTTTCTAATTTTTTATTCGTATTCTTTTCATGGGAAATACTGTATTGAATATATTCCATAAAATTCCATGAAATGTCTGAATGAAGTCATGGGAAGCAACGACACCATTCCAAGAAGCATTGGCACACGATTGAAAAAAACCTATCATAATTTACCCGACTGAAAATTCTACCAGACTTATATCTAGGCATACACTGCTGTGGACACGCTACAAACTTACAAACCACGGCATTGTGGTCGGACAAACCAGCATCAATCACCGAACAATTAACAGTATTTCAATCAAAACTTAAACACACATAATCAATTAATGTGGAAGATGGCTGGGAGACCTGTGTTGGTGACTTTACATGCATTTGTAAATTATGGGACTCCAACAAATTATTAAATCGTCTGGTAGATATAGAATTTGAATCCTCAAAATTAATATTGAAGTCACCCAATAAAATTACCGAGCTAGAAATTGATATCGACGAAAGTAGGGCATCCAAACCACGAAAAAAGTCATTTACATCTGACAAAGGTGATCTGTATATGCAGACTATATTCAAATTTTGATCCTTAGAAAACACTATTGAAAATTCAAAAACGTTCTCCAATAACAAATTTATAAAATTATCTACAGGTTGTAGTTGATTGCATTTCAAAAAGTCTCTGTTCCTCAAAATTATAGAGCCGCCATGAGCCGATTTGGTTCTACAAAAAACAGACAAAATTACGTAATTTGAAATACAGACTAATTCATGATCCCTCAACTAATGCTCGGTAATTAACACTAGTTGAGAGTACCTAAGATTATCAAAAAATATGCGCAATTCGTCAGTCTTATTTCTAAGTGATTGAATGTTAAGTAAAAGAAGCGAAGTACCGTTAACATTTTGTGTCATTAGGGATCTATTATTACATGAGATAGATCCAAAAAATTTGTATTCTCTGCCATGATTAAACCATTGTCACTGTTGTCAACGAGTGAGTGTGGGCCAATATGATCATCAGTAACAGTTTTGTTTGAGGTATTTAAATCATTACTATCATAATTCAACTACGCATTTCTGTAACTATCACACACTTTTACAAACAATAGGTTTTTATTACAGGGTTTCGAAAATAAAATATTTACAATGCTTTTAGAAAGCTCTTTCTTTTTTAGAGGAATACCCAAAAGATTACAATCCAAAAAACAAAAATGTCTTTCCACATATTGAACTAGCCTATATTCACATATCCAGCTAACCTATCGTTAAACCTAGAAATAGCATAATTCACATTAGGGTCAGAGTTCTTAAAAGGTACTGCTAAAACTAGAAAGTTAGTATGACCTTAATTTTTCAACATGCTGTTAATATTCCTAAATAATGGGTATCTTTTATTATTTAGCTCGTTATAGCCCGCTAAAATCACTACGTGGTCATTAAAGGTTGTTATGTTCTCATTTAGTTAGTTTTATATATCATACCTTTTTACCTTGTTGAATATTTGTTATAACCAGTAACTGGTACTGATGTCAATCATTACATAAATTGTCATTTTATTTGTTCGTATTTTTAGCCCTTAAATAAATTCATTATAAAAGTAAAATACATTAACGTACATACACAACAAAGGTAAAATCCTGCGTCAGATCTGCAATGTTTAGAATAACGTTTGCAAACACTGCATTGGGTTTGATAATTGACTGAACACTTAGCCCTTTTGTTGAGTTGCTGCTGCTTGCTTGTTTTAATGGCGCTGCTACTGAGGCAATTTGCCAGCACGATTTCGTGGTGACCCTGATGTTGTCTGGCTCTAGGCCATATCATAGGTCCCCTATTTGTTTCACTCTTTTCCGAGCTCTTTTCTTGCTTCTAGGTACCGTCAAATTTAACCAGTACTGTGATTAGGCTATGAAATAATTTTTTTTTTTTTTTTTGAGGTAACAGTTATCTAAAACAAAAGGTGAAATAGGGAAACAAAAAATCAAAATACACAATGCCACACGGGAGAAGCGATGGAAAGCAGGAATAGGATGCAATAAGTTGAGCACTACAGTTTCAATCTGTTAACAGTCAAAAAACTTATTATCATCTTAACCAATCTTTCATTCAAATTTGCCAAAATGGTATCTACTGATATTGGGGCCGGAATTTTCATATCTATGCCTGTCTGATATAAGTCAAGATGTGGTAGGTAGTTAATGGGACATTCTAAAAATATATGGTTTAGGGATTCAATTGCCCCACATTGACATAATGCATCATCCCTTAAGTTAATCCTAAAAAGGTGTTCTCCAGTCATGCAGTGCCCTGTGCGCATTCTAATAATTGTGGTAATATGTCTTCTGTCTATATAGGGAAAGAGTGAAAACCAACTCTTGACTGGAAAAACTGATTGGACCCTAGAATACTTATAGCCCTTATTACAAACAAGTGTTTGCCATTTAGCCTTGTAATCTTTAATCAGTCCTTCCTTAACACTAATCCAGACTTCCTGAGCATCTATTTGCATTCTTTTAGGAACTGTTAAAATTCTTCCTATGTTAGCCAACAGGTCCGCTTCAGTATTTCCAGGGATTCCAGAATGACCTGGAATCCATGCCAAACGTATATCAAAACCATTCTTGTTAGCACCCATAATCAGTGATTTTGTTTTTAGCGTCCAATAGTCTGCTGTTGCAGAATACAGGCATTTATTAATTTTCTTTATTGCACTATCAGAGTCAGAAAAAATTATTGACGATTTAATCCTTTTCTGAATAGTTACTCTGACAGCATCATGTATTGCAACTGTTTCCGCTTTACAAATGCTTAACATATCTGGCAGTCTTATTGAGAAGTTGTGGTCAACAGCAGGTATGCTCATCCCATATCCTGTTTTATGATCTTTTTTCGATGCATCTGTATATACAAAAGTAAAATCATTTTTATATTTTTCCGTGGCTAACCAGAATTTTTCTTTAATCATACTTTCATTCTTTCTAACACAAAGGTTCACAGTTTTAATGGGGTTGTTAAGGGTGTCGAAATCAAAATCATAACAGGGCCAATTATCACTCTTATAAATGTTTTCAAAGTAAGGTAGAAAATGTTCTATAGCTATTATTAGATAAGGTAAATTTTCCCTTCTGTTGATATTGTTTGTTAGTATTATTCTGTTGCGTGTCCTCAAAATCAGATTTATCAAGGGGTGGTTTTTAATACTTATTATTTTTGCAACAAACTTAATTGAAATTAAATTTCTTCTGCATTCCAGGCTTAATGACGCCGTTTCAGCAAGAAGGGCAGCCTTTGGTGTGGATTTCATACAGCCAATACATATTCTAATACCCTCAAAAAAGATCGTTTCCATGGAATTAAGTATTTGATGATTAGCTGGTTTGATAAACATAGCTCCAAACTCCAGATGAGATCTAATCAGAGCATGAAATATGGTCATTAAGGTACGCGGGTCAGCTCCCCACCACACTCTGCAAACCGCTCTTAGTACATTAAGAGATTTTTTGGCTTTGACAATATTATTTTTAATGTGATTGTCCCATTTTA